AGGCAGGCGCGGGCACGCACGGAGCGAGCGCGCCCGGCGGCGAGCAAGCGCGTGCAGGCCCGGCCCAGCGTGCCGGGACACTTGTCCCCCTCGCTCCTCCCGGGATCGAGCCCGGGATGGCGGCTGGGGTTGATCCCTTCGGTGCCCCCGAGGCGCTCCGGCCGGTCTATGGTTTCCTGTCGCGCTCGGAGGAAGTTGTTGTCCCGGGATTAAGGAGAGCGGCCCTGGGTTGGCCCTTGGAGCTGCCTGGAAGGAGCAGATGGAGCATTTGGAGAGTGCGGAGAAGCTGCCCCATGAACCCCCCGCCTTGGAAAGCCTCCCTGTAAATCCCCCTGAACAGCCCCCCGCGTTAGTGCTCCATCACCCTGAAAACCACCCCAGGAGCCCAGAGCAAAACTGCTCTGCGACCCCCTGCCAAAAAACCCTCTCCGAGTGTTTTGGGGTGGACAGCGGATAAGGCCCCCCCAAAAGGAGACCCTAAGCCCAGGGCACACCTCACTCCGCTCCCCTCTTCCCAGCACGAACAGGATGGGAAAGGCCCCGGAACGTTGCTCACGTCTCCTCCCAGCATCTGGGGCTGGGTGGGGAGTGTTTGTGTCCCCTAAATTTCTCCCCTTGGTCTCTCCTGTCCCTTCCTTCCCATCCGGACGCCCCCCGTCCCTTCACACCTCGCCCTGCCCCTCGCTCCGAGCTTTTCCAGCTGTGCCGTGGCCGCTGGCTCTGGCCGAGCAAATCCCCCCGGCACCACCGAGTTCTTCTGTTCAAACGACCCTCCCTCTGCTCTATCACCGCGGCTGCGCACGTCTGGCAACGCCGCCGGGGCCGAGGGTGGTGACGGTGACAGCGGCGCGGGGCCGGCCGGGAGCCTGGGCAGGGCCTGTTGGTTTTGGCCGCGGGGCCGGGGGGAAGGCGCTTGCCGATGGCTCCCTCCCGCGCTGGATCCAGCGGGAGCCGCCCGGAAAGGGCACGGGGAAGGATGCTGCTCCGGGGAGGCCGTTTTCGCCCCTGTTTGAAGCCACGGGAATGGGGTGCGAGGGAAGGGGGCACCTCGGTGGTGCCAAAGCGGAGAGGGGCCTGTGGAGATGGAGCCAAGAGCAGGGGACAGTCCCGGACAGGCCCCTGTGGAATCACGGAAGGGTCAAGGTTGGATGGGACCTTCGGACACCCCCAGCACAACCCTCAGCACAAGAAGGTCACCCCGAGCACCAGGATCACATCCAGGTGGGTTTGGGATATCTCCTGCGGGGAGACCCCGCAGCATCTCTGGGCACCTGGTCGAGTGCTCCACGTGCTCATGGTCAAGGTGGTTTTCCTCAAATTCCGGCAGAACTTCCCACATTTCAGTCTGTGCCTCTTGACCTGTCGCTGGGCACCACTGAATAGAGCCCGTCCCCATCCTTGTGACAACCTCCCTTAAGGGATCTGTCCACATGGATAAGGGATCTAGGGGCTCATGAGGGCCACCAAGGGGCTCGTGTGGGCTCACTCAAGTCGCTATGGGCTCATATGAACTCATGCAGGCTCGGGAAGGCTGTTATGGAGTCATATGGGACTGAATGGTCTCCTGTGGCCTTGAATGTGTCTGTACGGGCTAGTACAAGCCTCTGTGGACTTTCTGGGCTGGCCTTGGCTCCTACAGGCTTCTGCAATCCCATGCAGGCCCACACAGACTCATGCTGGTCTATATAGGACTGTAAGAGCTTGTATGGGTCGGGAGAGGACTGTAAGGGTTCATGCAGACTCCTGGGGCTCGTGCAGCCCCGTTTGGACTTGTGTGGGCCTATGCAAGCTCCTACGGCCTCATATGGCCCTGCATGGGCCTCTGCAGGTTTCTGTGGGACTGTATGGGCTGGTGTGGTCCTCTGCGGCAACATCAAGGCTCCTACGGGCTCGTGTGGGGCTCTCAGCGCCCAGGGTTGGCCCAACTCCCACCGACAAAAAGGCGCAAAAAAGAGCTCCGTTTGGGCAACTGCAGAGATGCTTTTTGGACACGCGAGGGCAGCAGCCGCCGGGAGGCCACAGCGACGCGTGGGGCGGCCGCGACGGGGCGGCCCGGAGCGCGGCGGGCTGATTCGGGCAATATGGCCCGGCCCGTACTGGGCTCTACGGGCTCGTGCTGGCCCGTGCTGGGCTCTACAGGCACCATCAGCCGTGGTCAGGCTCTGTAGGCTTATACAGACCCTCCACACATCTATGGGCTTGTGATGGGTTCCATGTGCTCCTATGAGTGCACTCATGGTTTTGGGACAGGTTCTATGGACAGGGATGAACCCTTAGAGGGTCCAGTGTTCCTGTACGGGTCGGTATTTGGCTATATGGGCTCATCCAGGGCCATGAAAAGCTCAATCTTGTCCAAGGATCTACAGGCTCATATGGCTCTGCGCCTTCCCTAGCCCCATTCCCTGCTCCTTGTTTCTTCCTCCCCTGCTCTCCCTCTCCCTTCCCTTGTCCCCTTCCCCGCTCCATGCTTCTTCCTCACCAGGCCCCTCCTCATCCTCGGAGCCCTGCGCTGGCCTCTCTCCAGCAGCTCCACATCCCTCTTGTCCTGTGGAGCCCAGAACTGGACACAATCCTGCAGATGTGGCCTCAGCAGGGCTGAGCAGAGGGGCAGGATCCCCTCCCTGGACCTGCTGCAGACGCTCTCCTTAACGCAGCCCAGGATCCCATTGGCCTTCCTGGCCACGAGGGCACCTGCTGCCTCATGGTCACCTTGTCACCCACCACGACGCCCAGGTCCCTCTCTGCAGAGTAGGTGCAGGTGGCAGGACAGCACGTTGGGAGGACTCCCCAAGGAGCGTGGAGCCATTGGCGATGGCAAGGACTGGTGTGGGCAGGCAGAGGGCAGGACGAGCACTGAGCTGGTGGGGTGACAAGGAGATCTGGTGGCAGATGCCCCATGGCGAAGCAGCCCAACTAGGCAGCATGAGCAGTGTGGGGGTGCCATGGTGGCCCCACACATTGCACCACCTTGTGTCCCACCACACTGCGGGGCTGTGGGCATCGCGTGGGCCCTTCTCCTCTGCGTGGGGTCTGTGTGAGGTCACAGAGGGGCCTTTCCAGACCCAGGAGGCCCCTCCTGGCACATACACAGCCTCGAGAGCGGGAGGAGGTGGCAGCTGCTGGCAAGGGGCAGCATGGTGCAAACATGGGCAACCTGGGCCACTGGCCACCTTGGTGCCTCCCTCCTCCTCCTGACCCTGCGTGCCTGGGACGCCCGGGCTGCTCAGCGGGGAGCACCAGGCCCAGGTAGGACGGGGGGCACGTGAGCACGGGGACAGCGTCGCTGCTGCCCAGTCCCAACGCTCCAGAGCAACGTGGTGGCCATGGCCGGGGTGGCCATGGAGGAGCCGCTTTGGAAAACCAGCAGCCTGCTGGGCCAAAGGACCCAATATTGGCTGACTTGTGATAGGAAAAGTCTTATTTAAGGCTGTACTGCACTCCTGAGGATGCCAGTTGCCCAACTGGCAACTGGATGCCCAACGGGACGCTCAGAGAAACAGGGGGTGCCAGAGAAGGCTTAGCCTTTCCCTGGCCAGTG